GAAGGGTGGCCTGATTTCTGGAGGGGACTCTGGTTCTGCCCAACCCTGAGGGCCTCAGAGTCTCTCTACCACACCTGACATCTCTTGCGCCCCTCGGGCTGTGTGTCTGCCTGTGTGTTGGTAGAAAATATTCTCACAAAGGCAAAGCCTCTTGAGCAAGCTGGAGACATGGAGAGGGTGTCAGGGAGCAGGTGCTGTGTAGTACTGGACTCTTGCTCTGCAGCTCCTGGATTGCTGTATCCATGGGGAGGCTGACTGCTTAACGAACAGCCCAGCATCAGTGCTGAATACATGAAAGGACACTCTGTCTACACAGAGTCCAGTGTGGATGTTCTTGTTCAGGTACCTCTCCAGGCAGCCCTCCTCTGAGATCAGTCTCACTGCTCCCTTCTTGTGTGGCTGAGGTCATCAAATAGAGCCTCCAACGTTACTGTGTACAAGGGGGAAAATTCTTCTGTCTAGCCTCCCTGGCTTCTCCCATCCCCCATTCCCCATTCAGGTGCCCTAAGTCTGATGGTCACTTTCTACTGCATCCCAGCCAGGCCTGGACTCACAGTCATGATTCCCACCTCTGACCTATGCTTACAACTTTGCCCACCTGGGGCCCTGCTGTGCGGGCATCTCAGCCTGTGTCCTCCTGGCAGACAGCCTCCTGCAACACGCACAGCATTGGGGTTGCTTAATCCAGTCTCTGAGGGCTTGTAGGTTATCACTGTGGTAGACAAGACGCCCGCAGTGACTTCATCTGCATGTATCAAACTCTCATATGGAAGGTGGGCTGGACTTAGAGCCAGGCATCAAACAGAGAGAATATAGAAACCGAATTGATGGTGAGTGACTCAGGTTAGTAAGCTCATAGAGGGCAGTGTGGCTTCTTTTTTGTGTTTTTTCCCTCTGTCTCTATGTCTCTTTCTCTCTCTCTCTTCCTCGTGATTTGTTTACTCTGGGAGAAGCAGTGTCATTGACAGTTGGCAGCCCCATGGAACACCCCACATGTGATGCATAGATGCCTGCTGCCAGTAGCCACAGGAGCAGGCCTGGGAGAGGATCCTCCAGCCCCACTCAAGGCTCTGAGAACACAGCCCCTGCAACAGCTTGGCAGCCTCCTTATGAGACACCTGTGCTCAGGCCCACAGCCTAGCAACTCCACAACACTGACCTTCAGAAACTGTGAGATACTAAATGTTGGTTGCGTAAAAAAAGCAGCTTAGTTTTGGAATATTAGATCTAAACCAACAGAGAACGACTTTAATCACCTGAGAGTCTAGCACTGGTCTCTCTCTCACCCCTCCCCAGGTCTTGCCTATGAGGCCTGAGAGGAGGTGCCATGTGAGTCATTTATGCAACTTCCCACAGTCACTGAGGATACTGAGGTGCCTAGGTCTTGAGTGGGGGCTGGGTGGGTGCTGGGGGCAATAAGGATGTGGTCTGGCCTCAGGGTCCAGTCCTGTGGGAACATGGTATCCACTCACCCACTAGTGGCCCTGGTCCTTTCACCACACAAGTCAGCTCACAAGATGGGTAACTAACTTGGATTGAGGGCAGTGGGGTGGGAGAGCTGGATTTGAAGGTGGGTGGAGTGCGCTGAGGTTTGACAACAGAGGTGTCCTTTATTTGACAAAATTGAGGAAACAGAGGGTCCAGGGAAAGGGATCAGCAGGTCATAAGACACAGCCTGTGTGAGCAGCATGTGTTCTGTAAGACTGAGTGCAGGGCAGGAAGAGTGGGCTGGAGGGGAGAGGATCTGGGAGGTGAAACTGGGCAGGTCTGTGGGACAGATTTGAAAGGGCCTCGACCGCCAGGCTGAGGCAGAGTTTAGGCATATCCTGACACATAGAGATCATTTACAGGCTGGGTTTTATTTGAGGAGAAGACTCAGGTGCTGTGTGCAGGCTAGCTAGAGGGAAGCCCTGGAGGCAGGAGCATTGTTGCACTGTACTGGGACCTCCCCTTCCCGCCAGTGAGAACCCAGGATGCTGAGTCAACAGCAGAAGAAAAGAAAGTCTTGTGAACCCAGTGGAAACTACTCTCTCATCCATACGAGAGGAGTTGAAGGCCAAGGGAGGAGGAAGAGCAGGAGGAGGAGGATGGAGACCTGGATGAGACGGTGGAGGCTGGGGATACCGGGAAAAGAAGCTCAGGCTTAGATGCGGACAACTTCTGTCTTCCCTTGACACCTTCAGACCTACTCTCCACATGTGTCCACCCTGCTTTCTGCAGAGAGACCACTCCATAGACTGTATCCCAAGGGCCTGGGTACCCTTTAGCTTCCACATGGGTTCAGGCAATCAGGAGACTTGGCAGGCGATGGAGGGAGGAGAGTGAGGTGGGAAGGCTCTTTCCCTGCAGGTTCAGGGTGCTCTTGTGCTGCCTCACCAACCTGGCCCCTCCATAGGACGCCCTCCAGGTTCAGGCCACTGCTGCCTCCTCTTGTCCTTCTAGGTTTCAGGGTGGTAGTAGCCCTTTACCTCTGCCACAGCCTTGGATAACTGCACGATCTTGTGTGCTTTCCCACATGCTGCACGCTCCTCAGGGAATTGTTCCTTAGTTAAAATCACCTTAGAGAGATTTCATTACTAAGTATTAACGTCAGTCCCTCAGCCATCTCTGCCTCATTGTGATTCCATGGGCTGGGGCCCGATAGGCTCCACTGTCCCCGGAATTCTCCAGCCAGGAATACTGGAGTGGGTAGCCATTGTCTTCTCCAGGAAATCTCCCTGGCCCAGGAATTGAACCCAGGTCTCCCACATTGTAGACATATTCTTTACCACTGTGCCACCAGGGAAGCCCCAAATTGCCTTACATTATCCTAACTGCAACATGGCAACTTGTACCTGCTGGGATCCAGGCTGATACAAGTTCCAGGAGCAATGGAGAGCCCTAGAAGGAACAAGCAAGATGGGGATGGGCACCAATGGGGAATGGAACCGAGACCCTCAGGGTAAAGTAGGGCTTTGTCATGGTCACACACAGGGAGGGCCAGGTGATGTGGGTGAAGGGGGCCTGGCAGGTTTCTACATACACTTTTTGGTAAACTGTTTTCAAAGAGGGGCCCAAGTGTCGCCACGTGTCCCACCCTTTTGAGCGTGACTTGCTGCTCCTGCCACACAGAGGAGAAGCCTATTCTTCTCCCTTTGAATCTAGACCAGCCTCAGGACTTGCTTTGACAGACACAAGCAAAATTGTGTAAGTCATGCCTAGAGGACTTAGTAGATCTTGCAGCCTTGCTCCCATCCTTTGGAAACCAGACACCATGAATATGAAAAGCCAAACAGAAGAGAAAGAGGGGCCCTATGCCCACCTGCAAGGAGAGGTCAGTCGGTCAGGCACCCAGCTGCCCCCAACTTCAGCCACCCCACCACTGAACTCAGCTGTAGGAGAGCCTGGGTTAAGACTGAGAACCATGCAGCCACCCAGAGAGAGGAGGACATAATAAATCCTTGCTGCTTTCAGCCATTAAGGTCTGCAGTGGTTCAATACCAGCAGTAGAAAACTGTAGCAGGCAGATACTTCTCTCCTGGCAAATCCTGCCCTTCCTTCATGGCACCTCCCACCTGCCACTTCTTCCTTCTTCGCCTGGTGGAAACCATCACTCCCTCTCTCAACCCCCCTGCTCTTGATTCCTGCTTCTCTTGGAACCCTATAGCACCCACTTCATAGTATCAGAACAGGCCATCATGAGATGCTGGGCACATTTATGGCCTGACTCCTGGTTACACTCTCCTCCCCACCAACCATTTCTCACAGTATGTGAAATGGCTAATTATCTCATTATATGTGTTCCGCTCCCAAGACTCAAGCTCCATGTTGTGATACTTGTTTCTTTGATAGCAAAACTAAGGTTTGTGGGGGATGTGACTTGCCCATAGTCACTGAAAAGGGCTGGGCTAAGCTTGGACCCAAATTTACATTCTTGAAGTGCCCCACATTTACAGTTATTGCTGTGATTAGCTTATGGAGGGAGAAGACTTACTTTCCCACTCCAAGTGTGGGGGTTCACAGTTCTGGTCCTACCTTATCATCCTGTCCCACCCTACATCCTGTCTCTCACTGATTACCTGTGTCCCAGACCTAGGAACCCAGAATCCTCCTCATCAGAAACTTGGCCCCACCTTCTCTTCTTGCAGATGCATAAGACCATTCACTCCTCATGTGTGGCCTTCCTTCTCTGGCTAGTCTGCCTTGTTTCTTTACATAATATAACCCATGTCTCCCACAGAATAGGCCAGAGGTGGTTATTTGGTGCTTAGGAAGGAGGAGGCAACATGCCATTCTCTGGCCCATCTGAGCCACCATCTGGGAAGGGGGCATAGGACAGCAGGGCTAGGGGCCAGGCTGGGGATCAAAGGTGAGCTTTTGGCCAGCCCTCCTGGTTGGAGGTGGAAGGATTGAGAAAAAGATTAAATGGAATCTCTCAATTGTTTTTGTGTTTTGTTTTGCCACATTGAGTGGCTTGAGGGATGTTAGTTCCCCTACCAGGGGTTGAATCTGGGCCCTGACAGTGAAAGTGCAGAGTCCTGACCACTGGACTCCTAGGGAGTTCTCAGAATCTTTCAATTGTTGAATTGAAATTTATGGAGCCCTGGTTCTGTGCCACTGTTAGGGCTGAATGAGTAGGAACTGCCATTGAAGTTCTCAGCTAAAAAAAAAAAAGTTCTCAGCTAATGTGACCTCAGAATTGAGGTCAAAGTTCATCTTAGTCACCCAGGGAAACTAAGACTCAGCACAGTCATTTAGCCAGTGACAGAGCCCAATTCTCTTTCCCCAACTTCCAGATCTCCCTCTGGCTGCCAGCCCGGGGCTCAGAGGACTCAGAAACTCAAAGGTGCCAGGATGAGTTAGGGGACTGTGACTTCTCCCTCCTCTCCAGCTCAGGGAGGGAGGATCTGGGACAGGTAGGATGCAGGATGAGGGAACCTGTAGGAGAAATGGCTGCAACTGGTGGCTGCTTCCAGCTGTCACTCAAGGCAGAGGAAGAGAAACCTACTAACTGGAGCTGCTGTTTGTCATGCTCATTGAGTGACAGGACCACAGAGGACAGAGACACAGACATCATTCTCTCTCAATATCTCTCCCATTTCTCAGGTGGGCAAAACCAAGGAGAGGGCCCATTACAGAGGAGTCAGTGCAGGAGAGCAAATCCCTGATGCCAGAGTCTGGTTTCCTCTGCCATGGAGCCAACTGTGACCTGGGGCCTGGCATGAGGTGGAGCTGCAGGAGTCAGTGAAGGCTCTGGAGATCTGTTCAACAGACACCTCAAGGAAGCCTTCTGGGATCACAACACCTTCCCTTCAGCCTCCCCAGTCCAGCCCTGCCCTTTGGGGCAGCGCCTCTGCTCAGCAGAACTCCAAGTGTTTGTCTCTGGGAACATTGTACTTGAGCTTGTGGGCTTCAAAGAGATTTTCCAGCTCCTTCATGTAGTGTTGGTGCAGTCTGTCCACCTCCTCCTGGGAGGGATGTGGTGTCTTCTGCACCTCGATGGGCTTCCCCACTGCAAGACACAGAGGTGAGTGGTGGCCCAGAGAAGGAACCACTGGAGTCCCAGGATCCCATGGGGCAGGACCCCGTGGTCACACCTGCTGGAAGGTGCCTATATTGCCTCCCTTCCAATTGTATTTTGGGTGACCTAATCTAGCTATTAGGGCAACTCCAAGCTCTGATGATAAAATGTCACAGGCTGCATGACCTCCTGCTAGGCAATGTGTTAGATACTTTAATGCATGATCTCTTTTTATCCTCCTAGCAATCCTAAAAGGATAGAACTTGCTTTATTCCTGTTTTTCAGCTGAGGTGTTAAACTCAGGGAGGTTAAGTAACTTGTTTAATGTCACATAGCTAGGCAGAATCAGTGTCAGGTTGTAAGCCCTGGGAATGTGCTCTTAGTCTCAGGGACATGTGAACCTGGGAGTCTCAGATGCCATGATTGGACATGCCCAAATGTCTGGGAGGAGGTGCCCACACCCCAAGCACCCTACTTCCCTCTCTCCTGCTATGCTAGAGGGCAGTGCCCCCCATTCTAAGGAGGAAATAGGAGGCCCTATCAACTTCCTTCCTCTGTTCTATCTGGCTCAGAAAGCAGCTGTCATGTCTTCTTCTCTTCAGAGTCATATGGAGGCAGCAGCCCTATAACATTCCTGAAAATATTACCCCCAAATCCAGGGAAACTCTTGACTGCCTAGACTCAACTAAAGATAACTGGGTGAATGGAGATAGACCTCTCATTACAAGCTTTGCCATTGGAAGATAGTTGGAATCCAAGAGGAGAGCAAATGAGATGACCAAATAACTGAAAAGATGGTGTTAAATCCATGCACTAAAGCCCATGCCCATTATTTATAGGAAATTTCTTCAGGCTCTCCTTCGTAGCCTGATGATTGCTATTATACACTGTTCTAACAGACCTGGAGTGCACTGCCCTTATATCCATCTTCTCTAATAAGCGTTATGGGATTGTCTTCTCAGAGGTAAAAACTCCTTCCTCTGGCATAGTAAAAGTCAAGTAGATCCTGACTCAAATCTCAATTGTGTTACTCACATGCAAGGTCATCTTTTGGAAATGATTTACCTTCCATAGGTCTCATTTTGTGATCAGTAAAATAAGGATGATAGTTTTTGCTTCCAAGGTTGTAAGGACAACTGAGCAGCTGCATAGAAGGAGCCAATGCAGTGCCTGGCACAGCAGGTGCTCAGTTATCAGTAATGGCAACTTGTCTTTATGCCCCTGTTACTCTTCTCATCTCAGATGCCTTTCATCTGGGTTACTTGCCTATATGTCCATTTCCCAGTATAGAACCTAAACTCCAGGAGGACAAGGATGTGTCTGGCCCATTTCCATTCCCCTTTAGCCCAAGCCCAAGTCCCTTGCCCCGTAACCCAACCCCTCCCAGTCTGGGTCTTGGCTTACCTACAGTGTTGATGGGCCGGCAGTAGGGCATAAGACCAAAACTGTTTTGGAAAACACCACGGCCATAAAAGAGTGGAATGGAAGCTCCCACTATCTTCAGAATTTGTTCCTGGAACCAGCGCAACCAGGAGCCAGGAGAGTTCTCAATCTGGTCAAACATGTCATTCTCCCCAAAGGAGAAGATAGGCACCAGAGCTGCCCTAGAGGGAGACAAGAGAGAGGGCATGTGGAGGGGCAAGGAGGCACAAGTTGGTCACTAGCTTCCTGCAAGGACATAGTGAGTGGGAGCTGGAGGAGAGGACAGAACCATGGACCAAAAGTAGGAGGCCTCGGGTGTCTCTCAGACCTGCCACAACCTTGCTTTATGACTCAAGTAGTTAGTGGCTCCTCTTGGGGCCATCACCTCCCCATTACACCATGACAGGGAGACCAGAATGCTGCAGAGAGTCTTCTCTGATTTAAAACATCTTCAAACTTTCTTGAAAAATCTCTTCTGCCCCAGCTAGCTTATATTCTTAAAGAGTGCTTCAGGGTAGGAGAACAGCTAAAGCTTAAAAGCTATTTCACAAACTCTATTCTCACAGAAGCCTTAGGTCTCAGATCTAATGCCAATTGTGGGCATTATGACCCTTCACATCTAGTCCCTTTGATCACCAAGTCTCCCTTCTAGAATCTTCTCTGGGTTTTGGGGCATGACACAATACATCTAGGGCTTTGTGGCTCAGATGGCAAAGAATGCCTGCAATGTGGGAGATGTGGGTTTGATCCCTGGGTTGGGCATGTCCCCTGGAGGAGGGCAAGGCAACCAACTCCAGTATTTTTGCTTGGAGAATCTCCATGGACAGAGGAGCCTGGTGGGCTACAGTCCATAGGTTCACAAAGAATTGGACACTACTGAGTGACTAAGCATAGCACAGCATAGTACATCTATCACCAAGACAGAATCTTCACTGTGAATGGACTGAGCATCTCTTGCCAAAATAGGATTTACATTAATCTCTCAGTCTTTCCAGCAAAATACAACCTTTGTCAATCTCCAGCTGAACTAAGAGCCCTCTCCCTGATACCCGTGCGTCAGGGCGAGCCTGATGAAGCCCTTGCGGTTTCGCAGCACCAGCTTGTAGGCTCCAGGCCTGGCATCCAGTGACTCCTGGACGCCCCCAACAACAATGCCCAGCAGGTTGCCTCCTCCTTCCCTGTTCAGAATGTGAGCAGCACTCTCCTTGTCTGCTGAGACCAGCCCTGGGGAGAGAGGGTGGTGGTCAGATACAGGGTAAAGCGGGTAGGGACTGTGGGGGATGGGCTGTGTACCCTGGGCTCCCCTCTCCCAGCTGGGAGTTCCCTGAGGACTGGGACGGAGTCCTTTCTCTCCACATAACCCCTCACCGAGCTCGTTGCTGGGCATAGAACTGTGGGAAGTGCTTCCTTATATCTAACCTCCTTTTCTAACATACATGCTCTTAGAGGAAGTTCTGATTGTTGGCAGCCCTTCCTAAAACACCCCTCATGTCTCCAGCCCTCATACACCTGGGCAATCCAATGGTCGGAAGACTTACCCCCTAACATGATGTAATCCCTGATGAAGGGGACCTGGAAAAACATGTTCAGTGTCATAAGATGTGGGCGGATGCCAGGGAAGATCGAGGAGAAGCCAGTGGCCTCAGTGCACAGGTTGGTAACAGTTCCAATGCCCATGATCCCGTGGGGGTGGTAGGCAGCGAGGTAGTTCCTGGAGGGATCCAGCTCTGCAGTCTTGACCAGCTGTAGGGACGGCAGCCTGGTGAATCAGGGCTGCTTCTTGTGCCCTCCTCAGTCTCTGTTCTGACTTTCTGTGCTGACCTCTTCTATGTCTCCCCTGTGCCCAAGTGCTATCACACCCCCATGTGAGTGTCCTGAGATTAGAGACGGCCTGTCTGAGAATCCTTGTCCTCACTGCAGGCCTGGAGCAGAGGAGATGCTCTGGGAGACCGTGGAATGAAGAGGGAGAGAGAGCGGACTCATGAAGGGATTAAGCCAATATAGCCCACCAGGGGAGGGAGGCCTCCTGCCCAAGGCAGAGGTAGGACTTCTGGGAGAGTGACGAGGACACAAGCCCCTGTCATATGTGAACAGACACCTTGTCCCAGGCAGAGCCCAACCAGAATGAAGGAGCCATCACAGGAGGGCCTCTCCAAGGACTGTGGCAGCTGGGGTCCTGTCTCAGATGGAGGGCTGAACTTCTGAGTCCCTGTGACTCAGTGTAAGACACCCCAGGGTGCTGAAGGTAGGGGCTGGGAGGAGGGGCATGAAGTCTCTAGTGATGCCCGCAGGTGTGGGTGGGGAGGGTCAGGGGTGTGTCATGCCAAGTCTGCAGCACTTCCTGGTACCAGTTCACAGCCTGCCCACAGCACTGCACCCCTGCTCAGGGCTTGGTCTGTGCAGACACTGCTGCTCCAGGATAATGAAATCTTCACAAAGAAACCCAGCTCCTGGACTTACCATCAGCATGAGGTGGAGGCAACTTGTCCTAGGGAAAACATTGCCTGATTCTCCTCCATTAGCTCTTTAGGGAGGCCATAGGGTGTACTTAGAAAGATCCAGTATGCTAAAATAGTTTTCTAAGTTTGCTTATAATTCTAAATTGCTTATAATACATGATAATTATAAGCAATTAAAAATATAATTATAATATATAAACATAAGCAATATTTAATAATTATAATTTTAAATATAATAATTATAATATATAAATATAAGCAATTAAAATATAATAATTATAAGCAATATTATATTGCTTATAATATAAATTTGATTATAATTCTAAATTAAATTCTAAATTTCTAAAATTTCTTATAATTCTACCAATAGGCTTTAGGTCATTAAGTCAGTAAGAATTGAAGGAAGTTCAGAAATACATGCTCATTTGACACAGAGTGCAGAGGCTTATGAATGTGGGGGAGCACCAACGGAGAGGGAGCTCCCTACCTGGGACCACAAAAATGTTGTCCTCCCCAAGATCCCTGAAGGACCTGTACTATAAATATGTGTGGACATGTTGAAGGGTCTCCTGAGAGGTGGTTAGGTCTAAAATCTGCAGGCCCCCAGCCCAGGCCAGGTGAGGCAAAGTGCATGTCATATCTCTCTCTGCTGACCACTTGGTGCTACTGCCCCTCCTATGGATATGGCGATGCCAAAAGACTCCAGCGGGCAACAATCCTGAACACTGTCCAAGTGGAATTTCTGCAAATCAAGTTCGATGTCCCACCACTGTCAATAGTTTTAGGGCTGAGAAATACCCCTGGAACCTCACGAAGGAAAGAAGGAAGGGGGTGCAAAGGACAGGCACAGAATTGCTCAGCATCACTTTTTTTTTCCCAGTCATGCATTTGACAGTAACTCCAGTTGTAAAGAGAGCCAGATGCTGTCCTGAGGTCTCCAGGATGACCTGATGTCTCATGGAATCCACACAACCCAATGATGTATGCTGTATCATCTCTACATATGAAGAAATGGAGGCTCAGAAAGGCTATTTTATTATATTCAATAAGGTGTGCAGTAGGTAGGTTGCACACATGGTATTAGAACTTATTCTGCCCAGGCCCAAAGAATATACTCCATATATTTCTTCTCTCCTGTGTGCAGAGGACAGCTGCCTGCCCTTGCCTGGCACTCTGTTTCCCTTCTGCCTTCCCTACCCTTTTTGGTCAATGAGCCATCCTTTCCTCACTGATTACAGACTGAGTTTATTCACTCTGAGATAAAGAAAAGAGCAGAATGGAGTTGGTCAAATCAATAAGTTTTCTTCCATCAGGACTGATCTTTGGGTCTGTGGTCAGGCCTTCACAGTGGCCACGAGGAGCTCTGAGTCAGAGAATCAGAGGCACTCAGAGTAGGAGGGAGCGGACTGCTTAGGGGATACATGGATAAACTGAGATCAGAACAGGAAAGGCTTTCCAAGAATGCATACCATACCCAGATTGCAACAGGATAAAACCTGAGAACCAGTTCAGGGCTCTCTGTTTTGCTTTATCTACCCAGAAATGCACTAATTGTAAAGCTAGTAAAAGAACTTCCTGTGTGACCTTGGTCATACCTTCCTCTCTCCTGGGTGCCTGTCTCCTTATATGATGAACTGTAAGGCCAGAAGTTCTCTAAGGACATGACTTTATTACCTGCACCCTCAAGCATGGCTGCTGAGAGGTGCAGGTAAGTTACATATGTGTGTCACACTAGATGGCCCACAAGACTCCTTCAAATCCTATTTATTCATCAATCCTCATATCGGCCGTACATCTCTGCAGATGGAAAACCATGGGCAGACAGAGGCTGGACTCTCTTCCAGGCCACATAGCGGTGGAAGCCTGGTTCCTCTCTCCCAGCCCAGTACCCTACTCACTGCACACAGTATCACACTTCCCCATGGACACGTGGGGCACTACAGTCCTGGCCACACCCCAGATAGTTCCATTACTCACCGAGATGGGGAAATAGTCTTTCATGTACTTCCATAAGATCCATGACCTGAAGGCCTGGATGTGCCTGCCTCCGTGCCGTGGCGTGTCTCGGTCCAGGAACCACCAGGTGGCATACAGGATAGGGAAGATCCAGAATCTTGTGAACAGGAGGCTTATGAAGACCACATAGCAGATGAAGGCTGGGAAGGGAAGCAGGAGCATTAGTGGGTACTAATGGCCACGGTGAAGGGTGCCCTCTTCCCATATGCCCAGCACTAGCAGCACTGTCCTGTCCAGCCCTTACCCCCAGGGGGAACAGGTCAGCCTCCCCAGTACTCCAAGGAGGAGAAAATGCAGTCCAGGATGTGCCACACTGGGACCCTGGGTTTGACACCAGGACTAACTCCAAACTCACTTGTTCCCACTGTACCATGCTGTCTCATTCACTCTGGTTTTCCCTTCCCTTTCCCTCCCTGTCTGTTAAGAAGTCTTACTTTCCTAGGTTCTCAATAAATTCCCAGTATGCCCAGTGACTGCATAAATTATTTCTAGTTATCATTCTTTGGGACCTCAGAGAAATGGAGACATTCTGTCCAGCCCTCCTTCTGTACACTCGTTGTCCATCTTTCTGTGGATAAATCCCACTAGATTCCTCCCTCTACTTAAACTTCTCATAACTGTGAAGCACAGCCCAAGCAACTCAGCCTGACATTCAGTCTCCTCAAGAAACTTACTCCAGCCTAGCTCATGTACAGGCCCCCTAGCTCCAGCTGCACTAAGCTGCTCAGTACCCCTCTGATGGCCTGAGCTCCTTTAACCTCTTAGCTTTTGCTCATTCAGTTTCCTCTGCTTGCCATGCCCTTTCCTATTGAAGGAAGGTTGAAGAGGCCAACACTTGACTGGACTGTAGTTTGGGGGTGCAACAGGGCTAGGACTGGGTCTGATGAGGAATTTCCATCTGACCTTTGATTCTCAGTCCCTACCACAGGCTAACCTGGTTTCATCTCAAGAGTTAGGTGCTATGATACCAATGGAGCCTAATTTCCAGGGAATATTGCCCCTTCCAGACCCCATTCTCTCCTCCTGACACCATGCAATCAAATTCCTTAAGAAGGTCAGCTTTCACTTCTATTCCTTTTGGAAGAAGGGTATCTGGGCTCTTTCCCAGCAGGCTTCCAGGAGGAAGACACTCTGGACTCAGTCTGAACAATAGTAAAATACAGAATCTGGATAAAGTAAGTTAAGGCTCACAGATGTTCACTTCCCACAGAGCACCTGTGATGTGCCAGGTGTTGGTGGTACAGCCAAGAAGAACAGCACACAAAAATGCCTGCCCTCCTGGAGCTGACTGTCTCAAATCTGGAGGATGGAGAAACGATGCCACTGGGAAAAGATGGTCAGGAATTTGACTTCAATTTTATTTACCGAATTGGAAGAGACACATGTACACCAATGTTTATTGCAGCATCATTTACAATAAGCTAGGACATGGAAGCTACCTAGATGTCCATTGGAAGATGAATGGATAAGGAAGTTATGGTATATATACACGATAGAATATTACTCAGCTATTAAAAAGAACACATTTGAGTCAGCTCAACTAAGGTGGTTGAAATTAGAGCCTATTATACAAAGAGAAGTAAGTCAGAAAGAGAAACACCAATACAGTGTATGAATGCATATATATGGAATTTAGGAAGATGGTAACAACAACCCTATATGCAAGACAGCAAAAGAGACACAGATGTAAAGAACTTTTGAACTCTGTGGGAGAAGGCGAGGGTGGGATGATTTGAGAGAATAGCATTGAAACACATATATTACCACATGTAAAACAGATGACCAGTGCAAGTTTGATGCCTGAAGCAGGGCACTCAAAGCTGATGCTCTGGGACAACACAGAGGGATGGGGTGGGGAGGGAGGTGGGAAGGGGGTTCAGGAGGGGGGGACACATGTGCATCCATGGCTGATTCATGTTGATGTATGGCAAAAACTGCCACAATATTGTAAGGTAATTAGCCTCCAATTAAAATAAATTAATTAAAAAATTTTATTTACTTATTTTTTCACTACAAATTTTTAATTTGAAGAAAACAATGACCCAGTTAGGTCTCTGCCCCAGGGCAAAATTAAAAATATGTATTGGTTTTTCCCACTTTCAGAAAGCCAGTTCTAGAGAATCAAATCAAGTTATTAGTGGCTCCCCACAGGGTTGGGTTTAGGGGACATCTTTCACTTTGGACACACGTTTTGTTTGAATGTGTTACAAGAGCAAACACTAGCTTTAACCAGAAAAAAAAAAAGTTAGGAAAAAAACACACTTTGGTCATTTACACTTGACCAGAAAGACTTCCCTGCACTTCACCATCCCCCTTACCCCAAACCCAAACTTGGGAGTCTTTTCAGTCACTTAGGAAAGAGACTTCTTTCACCTCAAGTGGGAAAATGTATCACCCCACTTTACCAAGCCCAGAGACGGTATGCAAATTGGCTAAGCTCACACAGCAAGCTGGTAGGACGGGATCTGGCATTCAGTTCTACTATTTTGGGTCCATCATGCTCCTAATATTCATTCATTTAATAAATATTCATTGACCTCAACTCTTTTAGGAGCTGGAAACACGGTTGAGAACAAGACCAACTGTTTGAATGGAACTTACCTTCCTGTGCGAGGTGTGAGAGTTATAGAGGAGAGGAAAGGAAACAATAAACAAGTAACCCATTGAAAACTATTGGTATCTATGCCCTGAGCTCATGGCGACAGGCCCTAGTTGACCTCTTTGGCCACTTCTTTGCCCCTCCCCCAAATGCTTATTTTACATCCAGTGTTAACCAGCTGTTCAATGTAAGTATGGTGTTCACTCTCCCACTGAAAGCCCTTTATCTCCTGTCAGCCTTTAAATCCTGCCCAGGAGACCCATCTACTATGTCTGGAAAGAGGTTCCTTCTCTCCACCTACCCTCAGCCTCCCTAGACCAGGGAAGGCAATCATTTACCTAAAGGGACAGATTGTAAATATTTTAGACTTTGCCATTCAGCTCAAAAGGCAACTTGGAGGATATTACATAGACACAAGATCATTTAAAATGTAAAAGCCATTCTTAGCTCATGGGTTGTGAAAATACAAAAATAACCAGTCACCTGGGTTTGGTTCATGGGGCATAATTTTTTGACCCCTCATGCAGACTGTGGCTACTCCCTGCCATCATCAGTCTACCCCCTAAACCCTCAACAGAGTAGAAACCCCAAATGCAGCCACAGGGACCTGTACCCAAAGACTGAACCTTGTCCCTCCCATTCCTAAAGCCCTCCTGGAGGTCCTCTTTGTCCCCAGGATAAGGGACAAGGTACAAGCTCCTGACATTGGTGGGCTCACATCCCATTTCTCAACTTCCCTCCATCTAGTTCCAGGTCCAGGGCTCGTGGACCTCCCTGAGCTGTTTCTGATACTCCCAGGTCCTGGGCTGGGCTGGGCGTGGGCACAGCTATTCGGACACACTCCTGCTCACAAAACTTCCCCAAGGCCAGGTGAGAAAGATGTCCCTCATCCCCATGATCCCCAGGTGTCAGTCTACCTGGTTCTGAGCCCCTAGTGCCTTTCATCCAGGAGCCAAGGGACTTGTCCCCTGCCCTAGGGTAACCCTCCTCCCCATGCTCCACACCTCCTCCCACACCCTCAGCCCTTTCTCCTCCCTCTGCCTCCTTCCCTTCATCCTTTGGAAGCAGAGGGGCCCAGACTTGCAGTCTTGGATATCTAGGCACTCAGCTTCTCTGCTCATCTGTGTAATGAGGGTAATCAGGGAAATTTAAAATGTTTAATGATCCTTAGGGGCTTCCCTGATAACTCAATGGATAAAGAATCCACCTGCAATGCAGGAGACACAGGACACCAGGATTTGATCCCTGGATTGGCAAGATCCTCCAAAGGAGGAAATGGCAACGCATCCCAGCATTCTTGCCTGAAAAATCCCATGGACAGAGGAGCCTGGTGGCTTGTGGTCCAAAAGGATCACAAAGAGTCAGACACGACTGAGTGGCTAAGTACAATGACTCTTCAGACAGAGACACAAGTCGATCATCAAGGATGCAGGGAGCAGGAAACTAGGGGCTTTACTTGGGATGAAAATTTTAGCTGGTAAAGTTGCGGGGGGTTCTAAGGGACCACCTTGTGTATGTGTGTGGTATGTGTGCTGGGTTTGTGGTGCCTGTGTGTGTGTGTGAGTTTGTGTGTGAATGTGTGAAATGGCTGTAGAGCAGTCTGTACAGAGTGTGTCCATAGTTTAACACCAGGAGAGAGGGCTTTCCAGGTGGCACCAGTGGTAAAGAATCTGCCTGCAATGCAGGAGCTGCAGGAGATGTAGGTCCAATCCCTGGGTCGGGAAGATTCCCTGGAAAAGGGTGTGGCAAACCACTTCAGTATTCTTACCTGGAAAATCCCATGGACAGAGGAGTCCATGGGGTCGCAAAGAGTTGGATAGGACTGAAGTGACTTAGCACAGCAGAGGCATCTGTGTACAGGCTGAACACCAGCATTCCCAGGGGGAGCAGTTTCTACACAGTCTGGTGCCAGCAGGGGAGATGAAGAATCTCACACGCTTCCAGTCACTTTCCCTTCCTTGTCCTCAATCCTGGGCCCTCCTCAAAAATGCTCCCTTCAGCAGAGCTGAACTTGGCATATTTGTGGCCTTCCTGTCATAATAGACATGTTCACTGTGGGAGTAGGTCAGGTACTAGATCCCACATACCCTCTGGGCTCCCTACCTGGGGCCAGGCCAGGGCTGAGCTGAGAAGAGCACATTTCTTCCTTTCATCCACAGCCCCTCCCCGATAAGGTCAGCATCCTTGGGCCCATTCTGCAGATAATGAGATGGAGGCACGGGGAGGCCTGGCATGCGTCCTCCAGGGTCCCACAGCCAGTCAGTTGTTCAGCCAGAGTCTGACCCAGGTCTGCTTCTCACTCGCCCATTCCCTATGGGCCCCCGCCTCACTCCCCATCCTGTTCATCCCTATTCCCTTCTCTTTTCCCACCTACCAGAGTCAGTCTCCTCTTCTCTGCATGAAAAACAAGAACTCAATCCTGTCTGAGCAGTTTGAGCAGCCCAAATGTCCCAGAATTACTGATTCCTTCCTCACAACACTGAGCAGCTTGAGGTGGGTCCCTGTCCTGGTATTCAGGTGGAACCCACAGCCCAGGAGGGCTAAGAACCCTGCCCAAAGTCACAGCTGAGGACTTCTGCCCCCAGATCCAACAAATTCCCACCCCCTGCAGAGGCTTCCAGGAGGGCTAGTAGGCTCAGCAGTCCCTTCAGGACCTACATCTTGGTCCCATCAATACACTGTGTGTACCTGGAATGACAGGAACCCACAGTCTCCCATCCCCCAACCCAGTCCCCTTACTCAGGGTAATGATGCTGAAGACATAATACAGGACTGCAAAGGTCTGCAGTCTGCGCTCCCATGGCAAAAACAAGGACACGAACTCCACCATGCTGGCTCCTCTGCTGGCTCTGGAGGCTTCTCTGAGCTCTGCTGTGGTTGGAGACAACTGCTGGCTTTTGTTTCTGCTGGAGGTTGTCTAAGTGTTTGTGGGGGCTGAGGAGGTTGAGTGCCCAATCCAACCCAGCCCCAACGCCTCCCTGCCCACGCGTGGCAAGGATTTCTTTCCTAGGAGAATTCTTTGAACCTAGGTAGAGCTGGAAGGAAAATAATACATTTGCTTCCTTAGGCAATGCTTTATCTGCCAGATAATTTTTTTGTCAAATCTTGCCCATTTCTTGGCAGGTGAAGCACCAAGTATAGTGCAATCCTGTCCTCTTTATACCTTCCCAGCAATAAACAATTGTCTTATTTCTCTTGCCAGATCACTGTTCCCCTCCACAAATGTGCAGTAATAACTTCCATCAAAAATCTCTTGTCCCCACCATCTCCTCCATTTCTTGCCCTGTTCCTCAGCTCACCTGCATAGCACAACTCATGGAATAACTGTTTGCATTCCACACCCTCCCCTCCCATTCTGCCCTCCCTCCTCCAGACTTCAGACATCACTGCTCCATGGAACTGCCCTTGACAAGTTCACCAGTGGTCTCCACACTGCTGAATCCAGTGGTTAGTTCTCAGCTCTCATCTTGACCTCTCAGCAACCTCAGACACAGTTGGTCCTTCCTTCCTCCTTGAAACCACTTGATCTGTGGACACCACACTCTCCTGGTTTCCCTTTTTCCCCTCTGGCTGCCCCTGGATATCCACAGTGGTTCTTATCCTTCACCAGGCTAAGTGTTTGAGGGCCCGCTTGCCCTCTCAGCCATTGGACCCTCCCTCCTTTCCAGCAGAGACCTCATCCAGACTCATGACCTTGGAGTCTGCCTACAGGACAAACACTTCCAAACTGCATCTCCAGCCTGACTTCCCTCTGGGCTCCAGACTTGACTATGTAGTTGGGTACTTGATATCCTCCCTGGTAAACTTCTCAGCACCTCTATCATGGCCTGAATAAAACTGAACTTGACCTTCCCTCTCCTGCCCAGACCAGCGTTTCCTCTGCTCCTTGTCATCTCAGGAAAGGGAACTCAATGACCTGATTCCTCAGACCAAAACATTAGAGTCACTCTGGACTATTTCTTTCCCTTTCCATTCCCCTCTTTCAGCCTGTTCTCCTAAATCTCTCCTTTAAAATGTACACTTTGAATTGAAATATATCAAACATACAGGAAAAGGCACAAACCCTAAGTGTAGGAGAGATGCATTGTCCCAGAGTGAACATAATGGTGTGATCTCTGCTCTGACAGACAAATAACACCTTGTCCGTCACTCCTCTCCTCCCCAAACTTCACACAGCTTTGTCTCTGCTTTGAACTTTATAATAAGTGAGTCTTACACAATATGCCTTTTGGAACTGTCTCTTTTGGTTCAAGACTATATTTTGAGAGTCATCCAAATTGTGTGTATTTGTGGTACATTTGTTCTCATTGACACATAGGACTTCACTGTGTGAATAAGCCACAATTCTTGTATTTTACTACTGAGAGATTTTTGGTGTGTTTCTGTTTCTGGCTATTGCAAATTGTGCAGCTGAGGGCTTTCTTTTCTGTTTTTCTTTTTCAAGTTTATTTGAGAAATAATTGATATGTTACTGTAGAAACATAAGGTATCCAGTATTATGTTGTGATTTACAAATGTTGTGAAGTGACTACCACAATAGATTTCACTATTATCCATCATCTTACATAGTACAATAAAAACAAAAGAAAAGAATTCTCCTTGTGATGAGAGCTCTTAGGGTCTATTGACTTTCCAACTCGCCTATGTATCATGCAGTAACAGGGGCATTCTGTTCATGACTTTGATTCACATTTCCATACATTTCTGTTGAATGAGTCCCCAGGAATAAGACAGCCATGTCTCTTTTTATAAAACCACATATTTCCCAAAGTGATTGTACAAATTTACACCCACAAGCCTCACACGAGAGTTCCAATTGCCCCACACCCTCCTTAACATTTCAGCCATTGTGGTGAGTATGTGGGGACACTTCATCACACTTACTGTGATTTTCTAGCCTGAGAGGTGGAGCACATTTTAATTTGTTTATTGACCATTTGAATAACATTTTATGGCAAGTTCATGCTCTAGTCTTGCTAATTTATATATCTCTTGCATGGGAAAGTTGCTTTCCACCCCCACAGCCAGGCTCTTTGATCGACTCTGATGCCAGTGTTCTCACTGGTTTCTGTCTCTGTACCCTTTCTCCTTCCCACAGTCTCAACAGCCAGAGGGACGGCTAGGTCAAAGCATATGTAACTTCATGAGCTGGCAAGGAGTAGTGCCAGGCTTTTCCCAAAACAGCAGCACCAGTTTACACTCTCACCAGAAATGTATATGAGATCCCTTGGATGCATATTGTCTCTGACCCTTGGTGCGGACAGACTTCTAATTATTTATTAGCGTGTAGAGTGATATTGAATCAAGGATCTTGATTTGTATTTCCTCATCATGAACATTGAACATGTCTTTATTTGGAAGCATTTCCTCTCTTTGTAAACTACTTGTTAATTTTTGCTATTTCTTTATAGTGTTTGTTTGTCTGTACATATTGTGGATCTCTTTTTCAATATCTAGCTTTGTTTTAAGGTGTCACTGCACGACAAACTATTTTAAATTTTAATATACTCATATTTGTCAGCTTTTTAAACATAGACATTGCTTGCTTTGATTTAGAAAATCAAGTAATGCTGAAAATGTGTACAATTGCACTCCAAAGTAGCAAAGTAATGCTCAAAATTCTCCAAGCAAGGCTTCAGTGGAACATGAACTGAGAACTTACAGATGTTTAAGCTGGATTTAGAACAGGCAGAGGAACCAGAGATCAAATTGCCAACATCCGTTGGATCATCAAAAAAGCAAGAGAATGCCAGAAAAACATCTACATCTGTTTCATTGACTACGTTAAAGCCTTTGACAGTGTGGATCACAACAAACTGTGGAAAATTCTTCAAGAGATGGGAATACCATACCTGCTTCCTGAGAAATCTGTATGCAGGTCAAGAAGCAACAGTTAGAATGGGACATGGAACAACAACTAGTTCCAAATTGGGAAAGTAGTACGTCAAGTCTGTATATTGTCACGCTGCTTATTTAACGTATATACAGAGTACATCATAGGAAATGCCAGACTGGATGAAGCACAAGTTGGAATCAAGATTGCCAGGAGAAATAACAATAACCTCAGATATGCTGATGATACCATCTTTATGGCAGGAAGTGAAGGCGAACTAAAGAGCCTCCTGATGAAAGTGAAAGAGGAGAGTGAAAAAGCTGGCTTAAACTCAACATTCCAAAAATTAAGATCATGGCATCTGGTCCCATTACTTCATGGCAAATAGATGGGAAAAGAATGGAAACAGTAATAGACTTTATTTTCTTGGGCTCCAAAATAACTGCAGATGGTGATTGTAGCCATGAAATTAAAAGAGGCTTGCTTCTTGGAAGAAAACTATAACAAACCTAGACAGCATATTAAAAAGCAGAAACATTACTTTGCTGACAAAGGTCTATCTAGTCAAGACTATGGTTTTTCCAGTGGTCATGTATGGATGTGAGAGTTGGACCATAAAGAAAGCTGAGCACCAAAGAATTGCTGCTTTTGAACTGTGGTGTTGGAGAAGACTCTTGAGAGTCCCTTGGACTGCAAGGAGATCTAACTAGTCAATCTTAAAGGAAATCAGTCCATTGGAAAGACTGATGCTGAAACTGAAGCTTCAAGTTTTTGGCCACCTATGCGAAGAACTGACTCATTGGAAAAGACCCTGATGCTAGGAAAGATTGAAGGTAGGAGGAGAAGGGGAGAACAGAGGATGAGATGGTTAGGTGGCATCACTGACTCAATGAACATGAGTTTGAGCAAGCTCCATGAGTGGGTGATAGACAGGGAAATGTGGCTTGCTGCAGTCCATGGGGTTGCAAGGAGTCAGACACAACTGAGCAACTAAACCAAACCTACCTAAAAGACATTGAGAATTATTTCCTAAGTTCTTTTCTTTAAGCCCACAGTAATATCTTGGTGTTTCAACCCAGGTAACTTCCCATACTGAGCCCCTATACTAAGTTTTTTTCATGCTTTATTTCCCTTTTAAATGTAAACATAGAATATAGCATTAAAAGATGTGTGAAAAATAAACTCCAAAATACTTTTTTTTCCTCAGAAAAAACAACTTCTCCATTAAGAATTTAATATTGTTTTTCATACATAAATATTTAATCATCTGGATGTTTATATAATTATATAGTATTAGTTAGCTAATATTAGATTGTTTGTTACTTTACCATAAGTCTTGAATACTCTGGTATGACTAAAAATAAGACAGGACGGTATTGTTGAAAGAAGGGACAAATAGATCAATGCAACAGAATAAAGAACCCCCAAGTAGGCCCCCATACAAATCATCGGCTGATCGTTGGCAGAGGAAGAAAGGAAACACACTGGACAAAAGATAGTCTTTCGAGCAAATGGTGCTGGATCAACTGGATATTTACATACCAAAAAAAAAAAAAAGTCCATGAATCTAGACAGACTTCACACCCTTCACAAAAATTAACTGAAAATAGATCATAGAACTAAAGTTAAAATGCAAAAACCTGAAACTCCTAGATTAAGCGGAGAAAATCTAGGAGAACCTGAGAATGGCAATGACTTTTTGCATACAAAATCATAGGCACAATCGTGAAAAAGAGATAAGGTGAACTTAATGAAATTAAACTCTTCGGCTCTTCAAAACGCACTGTCAAAAGATCTTTTACGAGAAGACAAGCCACAAACTGGGAGAAAATATTTGCAAAAGGCAAATATGTCAGATGACTGTTACCCAAAATGTGCAAAGAACTTTGAACACTCAACAATAAGAAAAGCAGCAATCTGATTAAAAAAAAAAAAAAAATAAAGGCAAAAGACCTAAGCAGACACTTCCCAGGAGAAGATGTATAGATGGCAAATCAGCATATGGAAAGATGCTC